GTGTTTCATGTTTTAAGTACATAATGCATGAAATAAGGTAAAAAAAATTAGTTTCCATTTGAAAAAAAAAATCCAATATTTTTTTAAATAACTTTCGAAATTTTTAACTATATGTGTTAACCGTACCCGTTTCTATGGAGAAAATTAATTATGGTTGAAGAAAAAGAAAAAAAATAAGAGACAAAATTTTCAAAAAAGGAAAAATATAATTTTTATACCCCTTTTGAAAATGTATGGATTTTTAATTATTCATTTTATGCTGAATACTGATAATATTCTTTTCCACTTTTTGGAAATAGATTTTATGCGATTTTTTTTTATTTTTTCATTTAGTGGTTATTTATTAGCGACAAATAATCCAGAAATTATTTTTTAAAATCATTTAGAGATGTGTATAATCTTTGTGAAATCTGAAATTGAAATATATGATAGCTCTGTAAAATCATGAATTTTTGTTAAGATTTTTGAACACTTTCAAATTAAATAATATGTGATTAAATGAGTATTTTCAAATTATTTCTACATTTTTCATGTTTTAAGATGTAATGCATGAAATAAAGTGATAAAAATTAGTTTCCATTTGAAAAAAAATCCAATGATTTTTTTAATAATTTTCGAAATTCTTAACTATATGTGTTATGGAGAAAATTAATTATTGCTGAAGATAAAGAGACAAAATTTAAAAAAAAAATCAAAAATATAATTTGTATGCCCCTTTTGAAAATGCTGAATACTGACAATATTCTTTTCCACTTTTTGAACACAAGCGTATTTTTTTAATTATTTTTTACTTTAGTGGTTTTTTACTAAACACAAATAAACTAAAAAATATTTTTCAAAATCATTTCGAAATCTTTATAATCTTTGTGCAATCTGAAATTCGAAAATCTATGTGAAATCTGTGAAATCTTTTACGTAAATTTTCAAAAAATGTGGTCTGTAATATCTCCAAAAGCATGTCAAGTTTCTTTAATTTAACAGATCATATGTTCGGATTTCTTCTATGCAAATCCCCTTGAAATCAAAAATACTGACATTGCTTCTACATTAAAACAGTCTAGACCCGTTTGCATAAATAATTAGAACTCGATAAACTTCGGGCAATTTGTGCGTACATATTCGGAAAAAGAAACCGTTCCACTTAAATCAACAAAAATATCGCTTTGTTAATAACATTTAGTATATAAACGGCGAAATAAAGGAAAATTAGTTGTTATCGCGTTGCGTTGAGGTCGATGCTTGGAAATCGAGAATTTCTTTTTGCGGATACTCGGTTAATGCTTAATAATTTAATCGCGATTAAAGTCAAAGTGCGGTATTCATTTTAAACGAATGGCTGCTTATGGGATGGCGATAAGGAACTCGCAGGAGTAGAGTTTTCCCGACGATATACCGTTTTCACAACCTTTTATGGTTTTAACTTCGGAATGAGTTTAAAAAAATGTTTTTAAAGCATGCTGTTTATTTAAGAAAATTGTTAAAAAATAAATGGACCAAATAAATAAAACACTTGACCAGTCAGGATAGTCGTATAGATCATCAGGGTAGGACTTTTAAGATAAGACTTAAAAATATTTTTCTAAAAAGACACTAGTTTTCATATTTCCATACGTTATTCCACAACAATCTTCCTTACTTACTTAACGAAATTGCTTTCCATGATTCCCAATTCAGTTCAGTTCAATACAATATGTTATTTATTACATCCATATGGGTACATGTATATTAAATTTGCTCGCCTAATTGGAAATTGTGTAATGTATGCTAAAATACATCTGCTTAGTGGGATTCATTAACGACGACTAACAAAAAGTGACTCGCTCATTGATCATGCATGTGTGCTTTAATTATACGCGCTTGAGTGCTGTAAAATAATTAAATTGTAAATTAATGTGTCAGCAGTACGGCCAAAGTGGACTGAGGAGGCGCCGACCAATTTAATCCATAAACAATTGCAGCAAGAAAAAACGATTTCTTAAAAGTGTAGAGTCATGAAATGGAAAATCCCATTCAGTTCCGGGCAATAAAGTATTTTCAGGAAACGGGTCTTTTAAACCTTTAAGGACATGAATTTTTTCATCAAATGATTGAATATTGAATTTCAATATAATATGATAAAGAAGGAATTGTAGCTGTGCTACTCACACCACCATATATATATATATATATATATATATATATATATATATATATATATATATATATATATATATATATATATATATATATATATATATATATATATATATATATATATATATATATATATATATATATATATATATATATATATATATATATATATATATATATATATATTGCCAGGCAAATGGGCGCAAATGAAAAGATTTGTAGCAAGATTTGTTCTTCTGAATGTTCCAGATGTTGACAACTAAAGCGATCTAAAAATTTCCTATTTATTTTTCATTCCTACAAAATAAATTATAAATGTTTATTTCTTTCAAATAATTGCGATAATACTATTTGGTTATCCATGGTAATGTTAATCATACTGTTATTCCTGATTAGTCTCTAGTTCTAAATCTAAAATCAGAAGCAAACAACATAAAAATCTAGTCAAGTGTTATGTGGAGTTTTCAGCTCACGTATTTCTCTGGGAGCCGACCGTATTTTTGTATAACGGTCTTATTAATATAATCAATTTTCCTCGTATAATTCAATTTTTCTTTCAAAAACAGATTTGGTTGTGTTGTTCCACGTCCCCCTAGATTTGCATATTTCGTATTCTTAATGGTAGTTTATCAGCATGCAAAGTAAAACAAAGCGGTTAGGTTGCTTATAGGTGTGGCCACGGTTTAACTAGTGGTTTATCAATCTCTTCATAATCCATGGTATGATCCGTGGTGTATTCGTGTCAAACTTGGTGTGAAACGTAAAGGGGAAGAAGAAGATTTTCCGTCGTCTGATACCAACCAATATTGAATCTAACCTGTCGCATATATCATTAATTTTTCGACTTTGATTTTATCATTCAAGCTGTGTCAAGAAGCTGCCGTTGGAAACCCAAAATTTTCCTATGTGGAATTTGTCCATCTGGATATTTACACTATATTTTGGGCAGTTGAGTTGATTATTTTTGGCAATCGACGTTTCAGTCGAATTTGACTTGACATAACCTCGAAAACCGTGTATTACATCTGGGGTAAGTTTTCTACCATTTTGTGGCTGCTATCGAGTACATGCTCGAGTTGCTGTTAAAGTTGTGGTGTTCAAGTAGATATATTTCAACGAGGACGTGTTCAGTACCTTGGAGTTTAAACCAATTTTTCTTTTTTTAGTTTTATATTGATCTGCACGAAATTTAAAACTACATTAACGAATTGGTACTATCGGTTGATGTGTATAAACTGCAATATGATAAATAACTTCCATTTCACTTTAAAAACACAAAACTTCCCCTTACTTTTCCATAATTTCACTTAATATCCTATAAATTTCTCATATCCATTAGATTTTCAGTAATTTTCAAGCTGATTGCAAAGAAGCATGCTAACGACGGTAGTTTTAAACTTAAATTATTACAGCACCGGGATAATAATCCAATAGGAACATTAGAAATATTTGGTATAACACCAGAATAAATCACATACCTTCAATAACTTGTAGTGTCCGTCAAACAATTTGTTTACATATAAAAAAATATTAAATAAGACATACATGGACATTGATGTCTCGTTGGCTATTTTAACTTTGGCGGTAAGTTTATTTCTAAATAAATATTGTATTGTAACAATGTTCAAACGAGTGTCAATAAACCATTGGAATAGGCATAAATTAGATATTACATCAACGTTTTTTTCGAAAGCATGCAAACGCCCTGGCGATTCGAGAAGACATATCTACACACAGATGTGCCAGAAAGCCGATTAATTTCACAAAATAATAACAACAATCGTAATAATAATAACAATAAAGTAATAAAAAAATAAAGTCAAATCTGCAAAAATGTTTTATTATGTATGGGATACAATTTTTGTTATAGGCTTGTTGTTTTTGTTAATAAGAAAACCGAAAAGAAAACAAGGACAATATTTTTTTGAAACGCTCGTCTGGACATCTGGCCAACCAAAAAAATATTTGACTTTTGACGCATTTTGAATGGTAACCACCTTCAGACCTACGGTTACATGTTTTTTCTTTTAGCAATCTTCAGCCAAGCCTTACTGCATGTTTCTAGAAACACCCTATATACATCTTAAATTTAACGTTTACTATTTATTTTAATAACTAAAAATTTTCTACAACCAAAAAGTTATTTTTCAAAATCTGTGAAATCGTTCAAACCTAGTATCTGTATCTTAATGGTTGTGGTGAAGTCTGGTCAAATCACTCTGCTTCTAGACAGGCTACAGAGAAAATAGCTAGCTGAAAGAGGCCAAAACAAGGACCAACCAACTTTTCGAAGATCTATTCAACACAAATAAAAGTATCGAGATCACAAGTTTCAACTGCGATTTCACTATACATCAGCATAAAAGCAACGGACCAAATGTTGGAGAAACCTGATCATATTTAAATAACTATAATTAAAAAGCACGGGTGTTGCTTTTCAAATATTTCGTTGTCGACCTACCTGCGAGAAACGTGCCTTCGAAATAGCAAAAGCACTGCCTGCATTTTTGTATTTAACGGCAAAATTTTCAGCCCAAAACAGTTTTCTCGGGCACCTCACGCTATAAAGAGAGGTCACCTCGCCCAACCCTAAAATAACCGACGTCTTGCACAGACGAAAAGGTTATGGTGTCCCTTTCCGGCGTACGTTAAATCTTATGGTATCCCTTTCTGTCATACGTTGGCAGAGTACAATTCTATGGGTACATATTCTATTTTTAATGGTCGGATTTATAACGGAAATATCAAGTTACCGCTGAGAAGCTTTTCTTTTCTATTTGCTGCCGCTTTTACCATTACACTTTACCGAATCACTTTGAATATTGCATATATTATTCTTTCACTTGTAATTTTTGGCTAGTACTTACATTTATCGCCGAAAAATTAGTAAACACTTATCGAAAACTGTCAATAATTTGTATCACCAGCCTATTTTGAGAACGTCTCTAGGTACTTCCATCGTACTCCTCGGAAGGTTGCAAAGCTCGCAGCACACTCGTTCATTCACACGAACCGTATTCACAACACAAAAAACCGAACAAACTCCACGCGCCGCTTGATAGTTACTGAAACCGTTTGGGAACGCGACTGTTGCTCGGACTGGCGAGAAACGAAAACTTGACGGTTAATAGTAGAGCTGGGTTCGGCGGATTGGCTCGAATCAGCTTTTACGCGATGTCAGAGTCGGTTCTGGAAGCATTAAATTGTTAGTTTATTCTCCGATGGTGGCTCTGAAGAAAACAAACATGACCCCTTGACAATAAAGCATGCGTTTCATTCGTTATTAGTTTTTGTGAAAAATTAAGAAGAAAAATATTTTAACGTATTTAAATTGTAATCTTTGTAATTGTAATTGTAATATTTTCTTCTTTTGCTTGAAATAATACATACTCTACTAATGGGCGAAAGATCCGAGCCGATCTTGGTGCGAAAGCTAAAAGAAGGAGCAGGCATATTCTAATTTTACAAGTCTAGTTTCTGTGGAGGGGGATTCTGTCGGTGAGCATTGCACGCAGGGGTCTAACCTCCGTTCGCTCCCGACAGAATCCTTTGCAATCGTCCCTAAAAATGATGGAATCGGTTTCCACAGAGTGGATTTAGTGTTCCAGTGAGTGTTTTAAAGGTGTAATCGTCGCCGGCCCCTCGGTTTTTTCCTGTTCACGCCGGAAAGGTGGTCGGATGGCCGCGGGGGAGGCTGTTTTTTTTGTTATCGGTCAAAGTCCTATATTTCAAGCTGAGAATAAATGTTGGTAATAGCTTCTCTGTTAACTGTTGGTCTGTGACCAAAAGAAAAAATTCATCGACGGATGTCGGTAATGGGCGAATGGCCATAGTAGTCTTGCCCAACTGTTTGTAAAAAGCAAAGAAGAAGAAGTTTCTGTGGAGGTTTAATAATCTTAACTTATCGAGTATTAGTATTGAACTTGAGTTTCTGGTTGGTACTGGTACTTTCACGTTACATCTTATTTTTCGGATTTGTAGATACAACTGAGTTTATTACGGTGCATAATTTTTTTAGGAATCTAACAACTTATTACTAACGTTAATTATTATTATCAAGTGCGCACTGCGGTGACGGATATTCCATTGGAAAGGTTTGCTGTACATTAAAATTTCTCGAAAAATTGCGAATATCGTTAGCATAAACATGTTTTATATTATTATTTATTTTTCTTCCTTCCACACTTTCAAAAACCTTATTCAAGGAATACAATTTAATCTGGATTTGCACGTGTTTTTATTCTGAAGAAGAAATACCGGTGACTGTTAATGCTGAGTTTCTAAGTGTAAATCAAAAAATTTAATAGCCCAATTTTTAAAACGCAACGATTTATTTCCTTTTTTACGAAAAGTGTCAACTTTTCAAAGGGACTTTTACAGGCTCCTGTAATACTATTCTCAAATATTCTATCCTGCGTCAGCTTTGGTTAGTTTTAGTTAGATCCTTTTAACAGTTTGAATTCTTCTTTCAGCAAGACCACTGCTTCGCGGATGGTAAGTGGGCGATTTTAATGCTTTTATCCTATCCTCTTATACTTTTAAATAATTAAACTACATGCTTAAAATAAGCCTTTACATTTTAAGACGGGAAAACAATATCACAAGACAGGCTACACCCGGGCTCTATTTTTTATTTATAATTATTTTTAAAAAGGGCTATTATCATACGACGTCACCGCCTAGAATCGTTACTAACCAAAAAGAAAGGTTCATATTGGTTTAGTTCAACCTTAAGATTCTAAGCAAACAATTCTGGTCATGTCATTTCATACGCACGTGGTAAATACACATTAGTTATCGTAGTTGTGGTTCAAAAACTTTAATGTTGGAATATTTCTTAAAACCCCTTTTTTGGATTTCAAAATGATGTACAGAAGTATGACATTTGTAGAGTTGACAAACTAGCGGTAGTGCAGTTCGTTGAATGCCCAATGGCTGAATGTGGACGCAGTTTCACTCAAATCACACCTGACAATACATTAAAGCGAGTTCAACGTCTCCTCACATGTTAAATCGCGTTTAACTCTTAATATGACGTCTACTGGTAATTGCTTATGCGCAAGTTCCTTAAAGATTCCGTTAAACTTAGAATATCTCAAATCTTAACGGTGAAATGTTCGTAAACCCGGCATAAATTATCGTCCTGCGTAAAATAAATAACGTTATGCATTCATGCATTCAAATCGTACAAGGCATACTCTAAGTTAAGATCTTCCGAATCGTTCGGGAATTATTCGAATCTTCGCCCGCCCACGTCTAATCCGTCGTGTGTCGAGCGCATCCCGAAAGCCAAGAGAGAGCCTAAGTTCGTCGCCGTAGACGGAGAAGGCGCCGTGAACCAACCTTAGCAAGGTCACGCGGCCGTTCTGTGACTACTAACGAAGAGATGAGCGGTCGGAACCTCTAGACCGTTTCTTCGTTTTGGTTTGCGAGGAGGTTGCATAACCTAGTTCGGCGTTCCGATAGAGGTTGCGAACTTTTGCAGGAAAAACTTAATTATTCGATAATTGTGAATTGCTTAAAAATATAGCAGGAGATTTAGGTGCAGAATGGAGAAAAAACCGTCAAACAAGAACAACATAAAAAGATTGCTTTTGATAAATCGTCTGTGAGCGGGGCAAGTTCTTCGCAAATAGCGCGAATCAGCTATTTATTTTAAAAAGAAGGCGCTTCGCGGAATCTTGTCCTAGAGGGACGCGTTGGACCACTTTGGAACTTTCGCAAAATCGATGTCATTTTAATGTGAATACACCCTGTTTAAAGTGTCCTTCAAATCTCGTCGAACTTCAAGGTTTCGGCACACTTTGGTAAATATTAAAATTTGTACTGGTAATTGCAATTTAAAATTATATTTTTTTCAAATATCTTGCGTCCCCTGTATTATACACGAAACCTTAAACTCTCTCACGGCACAGTTTAGGATACTTTTCATATCAAATTATCACATCTTTCAAGGTTTTTCATAATTCACCCACAAAAGCGGAAATTTCTAGCATCTATTAGAATTTTTTGTTCACAAACGACGTACCCTGTATATAATTCAACAATTTTCGAAATAGAGGATATAACCCTGGATCTCCTTAGTTTCCTAGCATCCGAATTTTTCCAATGGAGTAAATGGTTTTCTCGTTTCCTCTGGTCTTTTTTGTAGACCCTCGCACACGCGATTTTTAATTTTTTTTAAATATTTCCCGACGCCCCAGCTCCCCCATTTTAAGTTCCGTCCCGGAGCAAAGCTGCATAGATTTGCCAAATATGAAGTCCATTGCTTCAAGTTTCGGACATGAATAAACGTAGTGATTTTTAAACTCACCGTATAGACAATAGTGATCAGGAAATTAGAAGGAAAATATATTGTCTTTATCAAAGCGAAATTGTTTGATAAGGTGCAAATGAAGCTAGAAGAAGATAAAACCGATATAAATATAAGCCGCGTCACCCTCCACAGAGTTGTTTGTAACATGGGATTTAAGCAAAATAGTCAAAGGGCAAGTAGGAACAGGCTGGGTCAGAAGACGGAATTGTCCCAAACTGAACTTCCTTAATTGCGACCAAAGGCCAGCACGATGAAGATTGGGAGACCATATCTTAGCTTGGAAGTTGAAGTACCTCTTTACAAATGTATCAAGGAACGTATCACTGTTGTTGCATGCTATAATGCTTCTGGAAGACACAAACTTCCATTATTATGTATCGATAAGTTAGTAAAACCTCGAGCCTTCAAGAATATTCGTCCTAATGCTTTTTCTGTTTTGCATAAAAACAAAAAAAGGCTGAATGAATGCGAATCGATTTAAAAATTGTTTTTTTTTTAAATTTCGTCAGTAAAGAAAAAGTAAAGTAAAAAATGGGATATATATTTTAAATTTTACATTGCATTTAATTATTTGTTCCATGTTTTTATGCTTGTATTTCATAAATGTCGGATTTACCGAAATATAGATTATTCCCAATCACTTTGGTCCACGTTATTTCGGATAATCGAGACTGTACTTTATATGGAGAATGGAAAAGTGCAGACATTCAAGCACTGGGCCATAAGAGACTACGACCTTTTTTTTCTCAATATTTGAGCCGTTACCGCATTGCCAAGTATTCCTCAGTGATTTGTTATTCTAGTTGTGGCTATCTTTTGAAAAACCTGACCGAAACAACCATACATTTTTTAGATTTAATAAAAGAAAAATCAGCAAAAACGTGAATCTGTAGATTTAAATAACAACATCAATTGTAGAATCGTTCTAGAGAGTTTCGAAGGAGATAGATATATTTTTTAGACGACTTATCCTTATTTAATTAAAAAAAAAAGTGACTTGTATAAGGACTTCCAATGTTTCTTAATTATTTATTTTATTGTTTTCTTTGTATAATCGTTTTCTTTATATATCGTTTTTTAAAAATTTTACTTGCTTTTTGGATAATAAAGACGAAATAATAATCATTATTTAATTAAAATGCAAGAAACGTTAAAGGGAACAAAAAATAGTGAATTGGAACTTCTTGTTGGATTATCCGGTTATTTTATTCCATTTTACGTGGAAAATGAGGTAGGAAAACTTTACAATATCTTTTTTAAGGTGGTTATTAATTGTAGGAAGGAAGAATGAATTACCATCAATTGTATTCTGATGGGTAATGAGCAAGAAGGTGTAAAAAATTAAAAATATCTCTGACATCATTAAAAAATCAGATGAGTTTCAATTACTGTCAAATTTTCTAGAATATTTTATATTTTGGTTTGTAAGGTACAGTTTTTAGTAAGTGATATTGTTCCTGTTTTTTATGGTAGCATAGGTGTGCCATGAAAAAGAAACTATGTAAGAATTTTTAAGGTTTGTAAATGTTTATTTTTATTGTAATGTTTTTGAGATACAGGGTGAAATCTTTTAAGTTATTGTAGAGTAACAAGACCTTCTTAGAGACTTTTTTCCGTAGAATGCAGTGGCGTAGTTTTTTTTACTCGCTCTAACCGTTTTTAGATATGATGCAAATATTTGTTTTTTTAAATGGAACACCCTATATATTATTTTTTCATTAATTGTAAATCGTTTGCGCATTTCAAAAATATACATCGGTATAAAGTTCTTTTGAAAATTAAGCTCAAAATTCAATTTTTTTCATTTTTTGGTTGATTGGAGACCATAGTAAATCAACTAAATCAAATAAAAATAATATAGAAATAAGCAGTTCTTACTATACAAGAGACTTTTTACGTAATATATCGAAAATAATCTTGCTTTATTAATATAATAAAAATTATGTTGTTAAGTAGCTAGATGGCTATGACCCATCTCTTAAAAACAAAACAGCAAATGCGTCAAAAACGAGACTATCAATGTTCTTTCTGTGTTTCTGCGACTGTCCAAATAATTAAAAAAAAACAAATACCCGACGCTTTTCTGAAATAGCCTATAGTCTGACATTCCATTTACTACTGGCTATGAAAGATATTTTTTTAAATGCGACGGCTTTAACGGTCGTTTTATATTATGATACGAACACTTTCTAGCCAGATGGTACCATGACTAAACAGTGCGTCTACTCCACGCACTTACACCAGTACCACTCGTAGATTTACCGTTTGCCATTTTTTACATCGCAAATGAGAATTCGGTCAAACGTACTGCTTGCGTACTGCAAATGCTTCTGCGAGAGGCGCGATTCCTAAAAAACTTCTTTAATTTGACTTTGGCAGTGTAGATTGTCCTTGATGCCTGGAAGAATGTCGTATAGCTGATACCATATAGCTACTACTGTAAAAATTAGCCGCTTCTGGTGGGTATGATATTTTTATGATCTTACATTTCAGCCACTAACACTTAACTCTCTTTTGCATGGAGATTTAATGGGATCTTGAGAAGACACTGCCATAAAATTGACGCATTCGATCTTATTGACGGTTGTTATACTTCGACCAGAAATATAGTGATTTTACAACCTACCCCGTGATTAACTATGGCTACTGTTTATTACTCCAAAACCGCAACCCCTTATAGAACATCCTGCCGAGCAAAACGTTACCCGTAGTTATTCCAGGACCGTCCTAGGAATTTATCTACCTACACAAACAAACGGGATATAAGTACGTTTTCAATCTTTTTCGGCGAGCAATTCTTGAAACTTGTATATCAAAAATTAGTACAAAGTAACAATTTATTACCTTCTATTTCATTACATTTCTACATAGTATCATTATTAATGTACCCATTTTGTCACAGTGGTGCGTTAATGCACCACCTATTCTATGATTTTTTTTGTCACATTCAGGAAATATTTTTGCACATCCATTTAGAAATTTTATTATTATCACTACTAAAGGACATAAAACCGTAAAAATCTTATATATGACTTCAAAAGTTAACAAAAGCGGTACATAAATTTATATCATATTTTCAAGTAAATCCAAAATAGTAAAAAAAATATTTTGGATTTGTATTGCCATTTTTGTTAAGTCTATAGCATGTAGATTACATCGCAGAAAACATATATTGGAAATACTATATTGATTAGGCTTTATTTTTTGAAAATATTTACTGGTGCATGAATGCACCACTGGTTTTATCTGCGAAACAAAACTTTGTTATTGCAAGTCTAGACAAGTTAGCCCATGTAGAATAAACATCCAACAATTTGCGTGTTCTTTAGTATTTATTTGTGCTTTGTGCAGTGAACGTTACAGTTCGTAAAATATGGCATTTCCGAGGTATTTGACTCAAAAGGAATCAGAGGCGGCTATGGAGGAGATCGTGATGGATGAGGACAATAACAATGAAAGTCGTAAGTACTATTTGCAGTTACGTATTCATATGTATTGTAGCATTCCATTCCTTGTAAATTTATTCTAAAAATAACGTGAAAAAATATTTATATTTACAGAACATATTGACGCGGTCTATATTCCACCCGACGTGTATACCTTGACGAACAAGATATGAACGATAACATAAATCTACAAGAGTTTGGGGAACCAACTGATATAGTTGGAACTTTCGAGTTACATACATACAACTGTCCTTCAACAGTCCTGTAATTCATGAACTGCTGAACCTGGAATTCAAAAGAAGACGTACGCTTTATGCAAACGACAGGCTTGCTTCAACTGTCAAATGGAAGAAAGGTCTGATTGAGTACACTAACACACCTATATCCGATGAATTTAGATCATGTGAAGAACTAAAAAACAGGCTTTCTGTTGATGACGAAGTGATTTGATTTTAGAATTTTCGGTAAAATTTGTTCAAGACCAAAATTTTGTAGGTATTTTATTGTTCTCGGGTTATCATTCATTGCCACATATTTAGCATTATTGGTCTACTGATGACACTTATTTCCATTTCATTTCATTCATGCCTCACCCTGCGACTTTTTCCTATTCCCAAAAATTACAATTAATTTTGACAAATAAATAACTTTTTGATAAAACTTAAAAGTCAACTTACTTCTTGAACACACCTCGTATTCTCGTAAATTTACTTCTTTTTCTTCTTTAATATACAGGCCTTTTAACATTCTACTTTCAAAGGAAGCATTTAACAAAGAATCGACGATGATTAGACAAAATTACTTTTGCTGAATAGACATCTTGATAAAATTTAATTTTTCAACACACCGCGTATATGAAATAATAACATTGATGATTTCGCCGAAACGGCAAAGAAGAAGTGAACTTTATTTTTTTTACATCTCCTTAAACAACATAAGAATAAAACTAATTCGATTTTTTTTTATTCTTAACAGCACCTTATTAAATATTGCAACTTTTTTCTAATTCAACTATCTTTCATCAATCCGTTAGACAATAAATTAGTAATTATTATTAATTGTTACAGATCTTTAAGTAACAATTCCTCGACATCTTCGGTTGCCTGTGTCGCGTAACTGGCCTTGCTGTCATCCAACTCGATCTCGGAATATTCTTCAGGAGAGCCGGGCGTAATTTCCTTCTAAAAGCGACATTTCGGTAGATTTCCGTATTGATTCACGTATGGAAAAATGTGATGACACTATATTCCGGGATATCATCCGTTCGCTTGTTGAACTCCGACTAGAATCCTGCATCCGACTGGAATCCTGCAGACTTTTCGCTAAAATCTCACTTAGCATCTTCAATGCTCGCGCTCCGAAAACACTTCGAACACTGGGAGGTTATCGGCGGTGCGTGCGGTATTTATATTCTGCGCCGGAGATGGTAACGATGCCGCTTGTGCGGGAGGGGAGGTGGCTCCGCCCCCCGAATTGTCGCGTTGCTAATTTCGCCCGATCGTAGTTGCGATGTCCCCGTTGGCTGCTGCGTATCGCTCTGCTGTTTGATTATCGTTCTCCACGCATTGGATAAATGCAGAGCGTCGTCTCTCGTATTCAGGTGTCCGGACTTTTCTATCTCGATGGCCTCTCGTATAATCCTAGTCCTAAAATCAGGAATATTAACTATTTGTTTGCAAGTACCGAAATCAATTTTATGGCCTGTCTGATGTTGGTGCTGAAACAAAGCAGATGTTGTTTGTTTGTTTCTTATGGCTAGACGATGTTCCTCGAGCCTGGTTGAAATCCTTCTGTTGGTCTGTCCCACATACGTCAGGCTGCACGATCCGCTTGCTACACTGTATACTCCTTGGTTTTCCAGAGTAATTTTTTGTTTTGGGTTTCTTAGTATTGCTCCGGTGGTATGATCAGGTTTGTATGCCGTTGATATGTCGTGTTGATGCCTGCAGGATTTCAGTCGGATGCGGGATTCCAGTCGGAGTTCAACAAGCGAACGGATGATATCCCGGAATATAGTGTCATCATATATATATATATATATATATATATATATATATATATATATATATATATATATATATATATATATATATATATATATATATAAATATAAATTTGTAGTTTATAAACCCAACTGGCATATTTCCTTTCTGGAATTTCTTTCATTATTTCTATACTTAAACAATGATATTTATGATTGTAATATGGCCAAGTTGTGTTGCAATTGAAGCTAGTACATTATCAATCCGACATCCAATTGAAAAAAGAAAAAACAAGACATTACAAACTATTAGCCGTGATTAATGATTATATTTTCACGGCAAAATATCAATGATTTTTTTTTTCTTACTTGGCACTTTTTAAAGTGTAAGTTTAAAATATTGTGTATTTGATTTAGAAATAGTGAAAACACTCCAATCAAAATTGCTGTGTCCATAATTATGTTATACAGGGTGTCTCACAATGGCCTATTTATCACCATCGGAGTTTATTTACAATAAAATAAAATAGCCAGCATTTTAACTGTCGCGAAACTAACAGATTGATATGGTACGGCCACTTATTTCATTTCATTCCATTTATTACACAATTAAACAATTTTACACGTAAAACGCTCTCTGGGCATCTGGATATACATTAAAACTGAACGAAGATTATCACAAAAAACTTATATAAGCTGTAAAATAGATAAACATGACAGGGCGAATTATTTACAAAGATTATGGGAATATTAAATAATATTTTTTTAATAAACTTGGTTCGACACCCATTACACTATAAAGCAAAAGTGGCATCTATAGGAAAAAGAATATATATTTTACACAGTGCCTACTTTCAGCAAAAACATTAGACTACTCATTAGGACATGATAAGTGAACTTTTTGAACATTGGGTAATAAATTCTGGATCCAACCATCAGAAGCAAAAAACAGGTATTGCAAGAGTTCGTTGGTAGCGTGACTTTTATGTTGAAGACAGTTATACAAAAATGCAACTAGTTGAAGTTTTAATAACTAAACGTACGATAAAACACTTATTGCGTAGACGAGATCATAAAAAAAATCCGGTAATATAACTCTTAGATACTACCTTATCACTCCGATTTGAATCCTAGAGAAATAATATGGGCCGAACTTGTAAACAAAGTTGGACGCATATACCAAAGAATGTCCGCCAGATATAAAAATGGTTAATAGGTATATTATGCAACAAGTGCGGTAAACGGCATTTGACTCACGAGTTTATTTGACACGAGCGGAGCGAGTGTTTAATAAACGAGTGAGTTAAAAAGTTTACGGAACGTGTTGCATACTATACTTTTTTTACGACCGTTAGTTTTTGGGTACATTTTCGCAAAACAACACGAATACACTCACTGACATGACTGTCAGAATTGACAAACGTCGAAATTGCTTCCAAATCCGTGCGGTAAAATCCCGGAAATGTCCGAAGTGGCTCGGATTCATGGGAAACGAAACTGACGTGGTAAAATGACGCTTCCCGCACGCTAGATCGGTGGGTAATTAGGTATTCTACAGACGGGAGTAGAAAAAAGTATATTTTTTAACGAAACACTCTGTATATTATTAAATTAAATTAAATTCCCTTTCGAATGACATGTCTATATACCTAAATCTTCGGAAATAAATTCAAATTTCTTTGATAAATGGATTACTTTGCCATAATTCATTTCCCCTTTCAGACTTCAACAAAGATTTACTCACTATTGATTGTGCCGCAAATTTTGTCGATAAAATCGATTCAAAATGGAAGGAAACCTGCATTTTACAGCTGCTTTGATAAACTTGTTTATTATGCAATAGACGATGCAACAAAAACAAAATGTAATAAACGTTTTGGTATATTTTCATGCTTATCCAAATAGTTCCATTGGTAACGCAGCAGATAGCTCGGGTATTGCTAGCAGCACCATTTATAGAATTTTGGTAGATGGTCCTCATGCAGGAGGACTTAATTGCTCCGACGAAGCAAAAAAGGTATTTTCAATAGAAGATACAAGCAAAGAAAAGGAATTTCAATGGAAATTTAGTTTAAATATGTTTTCCTGTTAGAAGATAATAAAGTAAGTTTTTAAATTTATGATGAACCTTCGAATGCTTCAAAATACCTTAATTATGAACAGTGGTACCAACCAGATGTTCACAGATTCACTGTAATGAAGTGGCTTCACCAGAATTACTATTGGTTTGGACGTTTGGGGCCGTGGGAATGGCCAGCAAGATCTCCCGATCTCACGCCATTAGATTTTTACCTATGGGGAGCGTTAAACTCACGCGTCCATTTGACCCCTGTGCAGAGCAAGGAAAAGTTACGTTATCGTAGTGTACCATGCTTTGAATAAATAGATCCATCGAGGATAAAGAAGGTTCACCTCACCGCAAGTGTTTAGAATTTGATGGTGAACAGTTAGAACCTTCGCAGTACCTAATATTTTGTGAGTGTAAATATTTTTTTTATGTTTTTTGTAAAACGGTTTATAACATTTTTCTTAATTTTGGCAAATTTGCTACGTCCACAATTCTAACTTTCCACTAGTCCCAGTGGTAATAAAAATATGTAATAAAAATAAAGAAAATTGATAATTTTTCGAAAACCACCAAAGATAGGTATAGGAACGTATAACATTTTATTTTAGGTAAATTTTTAAAGGTTTTAAAGGTCTTGGAAACGTACTTCTTGTGTATTTTTGGTCTGTAAAGTAACCTTGTTTTAATAGAGTCACAATTAGTCACAACTTCTGCCGAACTAACGAATTGTTTGCTGACATTTCAAGCAATACAAAATCAATGACATGAAAAATTGGGCAAAGTTTACGGAAAAGGTCCTGACCTTGTTTTTTTTTCGCCAAAGAGACGTCTAATATGGCTGTGAGCCACCCTGTATATAGTCTAAATACCTGGTCGTTTTTTTGCGTGTTGGTCTCGTTGCTAGTCGTACTGGTGGAAGGAGTTATTCCGTACACAGGATTCTCAAAGGATTTGTCCAAACTCAGCACCGACCCAGCTACTGATGGGGCTTCGTAGATATTAGCCCTATCTTCCAAATTGTCGTACCTTGCGAACATGTAGCTCGATAGGGGTCGGGAATTTATTAACCTGGAACATCCGTACAAAAGAAAATCCGAGCTAGAAGAAAGAGTGCCTTGACAAAGTCGATCTCGATCTGTGGAATATGAGCCAGGAATAGGACAAAACGTGTTGGTGATAATCAACGCAGTTAAGAATCTGTGTGGCCACAATTGCAGCAGAAGTAGGGACGGAGGAAAGTTATCTGATATGGGAGCGAAGAGGACTTGTTGCTTATCCCAGATATATTTATATTCTATTTTATTAAATTGGTCTCAACAATGTAAGTACAGGGTTATTCATTATATTTTGTGTGTAAATACAAAAGTTTGAAGATTTTTGCTCTATTATCTTATGCAAATGTAAAATGTAATCCATCCATCGCAAGCTATCAAAATGACAGCAACATCATTTTCTTAAATGGAATGCCCTATATATTATTAGCTTAAATCCTATAGTTTATTGACATTTTTTGTTTAAAAATGGTCAAGTTTGCCTTGATGGCAACCACGTCATCTATGTTTGCAAATGTTTTAACAATGTTTTACTTTTGACAACTAATCAAAACTAAAGATCTGCAGCGTAAGTTAAATAATTTTTTTTTCTATCTTTCAAAAGTAACCCTGTAGGTGGGTGTCAAAGTCTAATGAATAACCCAGTACAAATAAATATAAAAGTTGAAGAGATCTTTAGGATGCTCAAAAGAACGTGACAAATAATTTTGCTTTTTGAAATTGTGCAACTTTTTTGGCACACGATGAGACAAAAGTCTGCGATCTGGATCTTAATCTAAAGAAAAGCCAGTATCTAATGATCCAAGAAGAAGGAAAATATCTAAAAGTAAATCAAGAAACAATAAATCGCGAAAGAATGTAACTATCTGGGTGTGACGCTTACCGATCATAGACAAAATTGCAAAGGGACGATGAACAATGCTTCATTCTTGCTTTACAAATCGTAATTCCATAGAAACAACTTATCGGAAACTCCATCGTTTCAAATTTTGGAGACATTTGAATGGGTATTACCACATGCCACGTTACTCAAAAATTGAACCCGCAATAATAGTATATTATGCAACAAGTGCGGTAAACAGCATTTGACTCACGAGTTTATTTGACATGAGCGGAGCGAGTTTTTAATAAACGAGTGAGTTAAAAAGTTTACCGAACGTGTTGCATACTATACTTTTTCTACGACCATTAGTTTTTAGGTACATTTTCGTAAAACAACACGAACACACTCACTGACATGATCGTCAGAATTGACAAACGTCAAAATGCAAAGCGTGGGAAATATCTCCGAAAACATCCGATTGCTCCCAAATCCGTGCGGTAAAATACCGGAAATATCCGAAGTGGCTCGGATTCGTGAGAAACGAAGCTGACGCGGTAAAGTGACGCTTCCCGCACGATAGATCGGTGGGTAATTAGGTATTTTGCAGACGGGAGTAGAAAAAACTATTTTATTGTTTAATGAAACATTGATAAATGAAGATGCATTTGACGAAATTTCTTTAATAAGGGAATTTGTAATGGCTTGAAAATTTTGATAATTGTACGAAAAGGCAACTGGGGTTTAAAAACATATTTTTGATGGTTGATATTCGACACTAATGCAGAGGAACAAAGAGTATTTTCAATTATAAACAACTTTTGGAGTAGCGAAAAAGGTTAAATTCATGTGCAACGGGAATTTAACTTGTTTGGAGTTTTACAAAATGATGTTGCTCTAGGCGGTCGAAATAAGTATTTTTTTAAACAATTGGGGGGAGGGGGTACGTTCGGGGCAAACTTTGATCGAAATGGGATCACGAACAGAAGATATTTACGGGAAAATGATTGGGAAAACAGGAAGCTTAAGATGGAACTTTAATAATAACCAACATATATTTGAAGATCCGATGGGATAATGGAAGCACACTTTGAGAGAACGGTAACAAATTCATAATCTGATTACTGTCTGTAAAAAGCAACGAATATTGATCGTTGTTTGTTTAAATGTAGATAACAGGAATTCACGGCTGATAAAAGTTTCGCGATTTTTCGATTCGTTTATAATTCCTGATAACAAAAATCATTAATAGCTAGTTGGGCGTGTTTTTCCTGGAAAAAATATGGAAATGTGTATAGATAAATCGAATTTGCCAAGATATCCTTTTTTTTGGTTAGATTTCATCATTTGGTCGGTTTAAAAGAGTATTATGTCTTTAATAAGTTACAAAACAACTTTTTTAAACGTCGATAAAATTAAATAATGATTAAATTGTTTGATATCAAGGAAATCTTTTATATACGTCAAGTTTATCAGAAGCACTCTTAATTTGTTTACCAAAAAAAGTAAATTAAAAAAAATAATAAAAAAACAGTATTCATAATTATCAAATTTTAAGCTGCCTATTTTTGGAAGGTTATTTATGTAACTTGAGCAAGCCACGTACTTTTTTTTCATTACCTATTCTATTTTTCATTACCTGTTCTACGTGTTTAGAAAAAAAAAACAACAAAGAGACCTGTAGTTAACTACTTCCAGTTTGTCTCCTTTTTTCAATAAGCGTTCAATAATACCAACTTTTAGGCACTCTGGGAAACATTCTGAATCGAATATTCCCATAATTGCTTTTAAGTTTACGCTCCTTATGTGGTCCCAATCTAGGTGATGTTTTAACTTTAAGTTTTGTATTGTTTTTTCAACCTCAGAGGAAGACACGTGGCTTAAATACATCGAGCTATGCAAAGTAGGGATGTTATTCTTGTATTTAGGTATTTGTTTGATTTTCTTTGCAAAATGTTGACCCAAGACGCTATAAAAGTTATTAAATTCGTTTGACATTTCACGGTCTTATTAGTAGATTAGTATAGATGGTACCGTTCTGATTTTTTATTTGTTTGACATAACTTTCTTTCGGAAGAATTCCTTCTCACTTATTTTGATATGGATTCTGACCTTGTTTTTACATGAATTGCATCTTGTTGTTGTTATTAAGTTTTAAGTAAGTTTTATGTAAGTTGTTAAGTTTTTTTTTGTATTATCTATCATTTACACATAACATGAAGCAAAGGCTTAAACATTTAAATAATATTTTGGTTGATTTTACTGCCACCACGACAGAAGACGACCTGGCGTTACATTTGACACGAAATGGTTTCTTAATTAGAAATGCAAGAAAAATTACTCAAAAAAACTCTAGACAAATCCTTTTTTATAAGCTAGTGTATTCGAAACTTGAATATGGTAGCATAATTTGGAAGCATTGTTATAGTAAATGTATAATAATTAAAAAAATGAAAAGAAATTCCTTAAATTTGCGAGAGGGAACCCTAAACAACAGAACCATAATCACTCAGTTACTGTATCTTTTAAAAATCGTTAACAATCTAGCATTCAACAATGCAATATTCAGTTCGCTATACTTAAGCGTCACGAATAAAACACGTTTGAAAGGTTACAGGAACTTTACAGCACAATATCAATAAATTGGGTGTGACAGAACACAAAATTCAATAAAGAATAAAGGTTATGTAATTAACTGACATTGACAACTATATGCATGGCCTACTAGTACATAAACAAAAAATGGCGTATATTTCCGCATTTTGTGGCACCTTTGCATATTAGATTGTATTACTCCACACCTTTTTAAAACAGGCTTTAGATTTTTTTGTTTGTTTTAGTTTTTGGGAATATATAATAAATAAGTCAATTTTAGGACAACCTTTAACACGGTTCTAATTTCAGGGGCTCTCTGACTTTAAGCATTTGCAGCATAGTTAGAACAAAACTAATATGCACGTCCTAGGCCGGGATTTTGTAAAGGATCAGTATTCTTGTAGATGACATTTTAAATTCAAAAAATTTTTTGAGCTAGGTCGCCTTCTTTCTGGATATCTTTGGAAATATACATTTAACGCCGTCTGTCGATTTTCGTTACTTTCAATATAACGTGTTATCATGTCGTACATTTCAAAATTTTCATTTTTATAGCTTGACGACGACGCCATTTTGACACTTGGGCTTGTGTATCACGACAATTGTGTTTATCTGATCATAGCTACCTAGACAGATACCGTAAAACTGCATAGGTCAGAGTTAAGCACAGCCTACTATGGTAATTATTAAAAATTGCAGATATCTTTTTGACTACTTAATAAAAATAGGTGTATGGCACATCGTTTGACAGGAAATTTTATTAGAAAACTATTTTTTTTAAAAGCATATTTAAAAAAATATAACTTTGTGTTAAATCTCGTGAACTAAAGGCTTGAAGACAAAATCGGTGAAACTTAAAAATCTTCGAAAAATGTTTTTAACAAAAATCTCTATCTTTACAAATAAAAAAGTTATAGAGAGTTTTTAGAAATATTTTGTAGAATCACCCTGGAGCTCAGAAACGCTTTGACATATCATGATGCAGTTTTTGTTTTTCTACTTCTTTCGAAAATCGAACCCGTAACGTGCTTATTAGTTTTGTGCTAACTATGCTGCAAATGCTTAAAGCCATAGAGGCCCCTCGAATTTGGACGACCTTGTACATATAACGTACCTATTACTCCAATTGACGTTTGAAAACTTCGGCGAATACACCAAAAACAGGACGCCAAACACGAGCGCAGCTCCGAAGAAAGTGCCGAATATCATGGAGATGGTGTTCCGGTAACCCTCGCCTTGTTCAAAATAAGGACTCGAAACAAACATTTGAACATTTTCGACCAGAGAGCTTCCGTCTAAAAAGCGCATTAGATGTGGCAATTTCATGTACCGCGTGGAGTGTTACACCACTTTAGATATTTTAATTTAATTTAATATTTTAATACATGTACTATGTATCGAGAGGCAATACTTGGTGTACCTTAATTTTTTTGAAATACACCAGTGGCGGGCGTATACGGAATTTCACCTGTCTATTTTGGCACACATAGATGGTACGTCACTGATTTCTGTTAAAATAAAAATTATGAAATACACCAGTGGCGGGCGTATACGGAATTTCACCTGTCTATTTCTGTTAAAATAAAAAATTATTCTTACCAGCTTTAATCATTTCTAAAGAAATTTAATTAATTAATAGATAGATAGAAAATCATTTTTTTTTTAAAGAGCTACATAAATTGGCCAAAAATTTAAATTAGCAGTTTGGGCGCCAAATCCCACTTCTATATAAAATATTTGAATTTTTTTAATGCCGTTTCGTCCAATTGTAGATTGTAGCTTTAACGGAAACGTGGTTTAACGACTCAATTTACACTAACGCATTATTTCCTAGTCACTACTTAAGTTATCGCAGTGACAGATCTTTCTCTTCTAGGGGCGGATATAACCTGAGAAATGCAAATATTTCAGCATTGAATGACTTTCTGCTCGTTTTCAATTTAACTCAGTACAATTTCTTGATCTTGTTTTTTATAATAACATCTGTTGAGAGGTCTACAGATTGTTTAGTGTCTTAAGCACAGGCGTCATCCTGCGTTGAATGTTTTTTGTAAGCTGAACTTCAGTCACAGTTTAAAACGTAATTTTCCGACATTATTTTGTGATGAATATAATTTCTGGAATGCCAATTTCCATCTAATGAGTCATCGTATTGGACCTTCCTTGAATCTTTTGACAAAGTCAATGACGCCTGCACTTACTTTTACTGTAAACTTTACAACATTTTCGATGAATATGTTCCTAAGCTAAGCGAAAGTATCGCCCGTGGTTCACGCAGGATATAATCAAGAAAATCCACTTAAAATCTAAATATTTAAAAAATTTAAAAGATTAAGAATGATCTTGATCTTGATGCTTGATGATCTTGAATTTAAGCTATTAAGGGCCAAAATTTACTCAGCTCTTAATAATTCTTATAAATTGTATGCATGGTCTGCGGAGTGTCGGATTGAAAACTGATCTAAATAAATTTTGGTGTTTTATTTGGTGTTTTATTTTGCATGTTGACAAGCTTCACCCAGATACTACAACTCCGCAACTACAGAGTAGCTAAAGCTCCTTTTCTGAGAGGTTATGCATTCCTCTTTTAAGGTTACAATTAAAGAAAGTAACCCAAGATCCAACTTTATGGCCAGTAAGAACACACCATGAATACCAAATTTCCGAGTAATTGCCTAGAATCGTCTGGATCTACTATGAACAACGTTTTAGCAATAGTGTTAATCTCTGACAGATGTTTCTGTCATGCATTCGAACGTTAAATGTCTTTCTAAGAAGACTGACCGACTAAACTTATCTTTAGAAAAGGTTTCATTAAATTTTATTTATATTTTTATATTTTATTTTATAAGTGATATTTTTCTCTATTGCTTCTTCTTCTTTTTAATTTGAAACCAGCAATCTAGACCTTATAAGCTTAGTAAAGAAAGGAATGGAATAAAACGACTAAATGATATTTTAATATGTGTTTATAGAACTTGTCCGTGCGACTTCCATTTGTTTTTAGACTTATTTGAACAACTTCTTTCGTACTTATCTCAGCTTAACTGTACTCTAATTTTCTCATTCACAAACTTGGCGGACTCAGATTGCACCATTGAAGTTCTAGATTTCTGACCATAAAGCACACACATATTAAGAATAAAAAATAATCCTTCTTTTAAAAAAAATCAAAATATTTTGCGACGCAAGAAAAGATTCCGCTTGAATTAATATTTACAAAAATAAATATCAAATAAATAAAAAAAAATAAAATCTAATAAATTTCAAATATCAACATAAAATCAAGTTGTGACATCGCGCAGCATTTCAGATAATATAATAGATAATATTTGATTTTCAGACTTCAACTCAATTGATTTTCTAAATTGAAATCACAGTTATTTTGATAAATGCTTTAGTTTATCATTTTAACTTTAAGAAATTCGTCTTGCTTACATATCTATAATATAAACAGCCGATTATTTGTTCTGATCTTTTGGTGTCCCTTTTGACACATTTATATAAGGCCTATTTGGCCCCCAGTACATTCTCAGATCAATTTAAGTGTGCAGAAGTGATTCCACTTTTCAAAAAGGCAGAGCAAATATGATGTAAACAACTACCGTCCTATTTCAATATTGCCTGTTTTTAGCCAGATTTTTCAAATTATACTGAAGGAGTTGCTGTTAGACTACTAAAAATTTCATTTTTTTCTAATGAACAGTGATTACAATCGGTTTGTCAGAGTCGGTCGAATCTTTTTTCGAATCGTATTTCACTGACGTTGGTCAGAGTGTAGAGCGTAGATAGTCACGGTGTTCCGCATGGATCGGTTTTATATGAATGACTTTGCCCATTTTATTAAGTCCATTAAGTGTACAGTATTTGCAAACAACACCGCAACAATCTGCGGAAATTCGTCTCTGAAGAGTTGAACCGAAATAAAATGCAAAACCTCTTAGTTTACCATATGGGGTGGATCTAGCTATGCAGTCAGAGTGTTTCGTCTTAAAAAAAAGGTCTCCCTCTTGGTTTGGACTATAGAGAATCCTGTAGGGCACAGTTTCATATTATGACTTTACCATATACTTTCATATAAGGGGTGTTTTTTTTTTTCGATGTATGGAACTTTAAGTTGCAATAAAACAACGATGGATTATTCGATTGACATGAATTTTATTTATCCGAAAGATAATCTTGTGGCATTACATTTCAAATATGATTTCTGGCATATGACCGTCTCGGCTGGCGCGGATGTAGTCCAATCTGGACGTCCAATTTTCGATGACTTTTTCCAACATTTGTTGCCGTATATCGGCAATAACACGGCGAATGTTGTCCTCCAAATGGTCAAGCGTTTGTGGCTTATCCGCATAAAACAATGACTTTACATAGCCCCACAGAAAGTAGTCTAGCGGTGTTAAATCACAAGATCTTGGAGGCCAATTCACAGGTCCAAAACGTGAAATTAGGCGGTCACCAAACGTGTCAATAAATCGATTGTGGCACGAGCTGTGTGACATGTTGCGCCGTCTTGTTGAAACCACATCTCCTGGACATCATGGTTATTCAATTTAGGAACGAAAGTGTTAGTAATCATAGCTCTATACCGATCACCATTGACTGTAACGTTCTGCCCATCATCGTTTTTGAAGAAGTACGGACCAATGATTCCACCAGTCCATAAAGCGCACCAAACAGTCAGTTTTTCTGGATGTAACGGTGTTTCGACATACACTTGAGGACTAGCTTCGCTCCAAATCCGGCAGTTTTGTTTGCTGACGTAGCCATTCAACCAGAAGGGCGCTTCATCGCTAAACAAAATTCGCTTATGAAAATCGGGAAGAACGGCAATCTCGTTTTGGGCCCATTCGACGAAACTACGCCTTACTTGATGATCGTTTGGTTTCAATTCTTGCACGGGTTGGATTTTGTAAGCACGTAAACCAAGATCCTTCCGCAAAATCTTCCATAACCAGGATGGACACAGATCCACTTCCTGTGCTCGATGGCGGATGGACTCATTCGGGTCTTCCTCAATGCTAGGCTCTACAGCAGCAATAGCTTCTTCTGTACGCACCGTACGGCGTCTCTGGGGATGCGAGTTATCAATAAGAGTAAACGTGGTGCGAAAACCTTCCATGGTTCATGGTTAATCGAATTAACTGTTCTGATGGAAGATTTTGTCGACGATAAAATGGACGCAGTGCACGTTACGTATTCCGTACAGAACCATTATTTTCGAAATAAAATTGCACTATCTGCAAGCGTTGTTCAGGCGTGAGTCTATTCATGATGAATTGCCAAACCAAAATGAGAATAAATCACTTGACAGCTGTTAAATCGGTCGCCATCTTGAACAGTAATGCCAACTTAAAGTTCTATACATCGAAAAAAAAACACCCATTACAAGCGCCTAATCGAAATACATTCTAATTAATTAAGTTTTTCTGCTCAGGCTGTAATATAAAACTTCTTGGTAACAATTCTTTTCAAATTTTTAACCTGTGTAGCCTGTCTACTTTTACAAGTTTGTCTCGTTCTTTTTACACTTTTATTTTTTATACGTTTTTGTATATTTTGTTTTGACATTTTGTATACTCTGGTTAAATAAATAAACCTAAACCTAGACCTAATATTCGAGCAAAAATATGGAGTGCCTGAAAACTGAAGCTAGATTATCAGTTAATGGATAGTTTGAATAGGAACGACGATAGTACGCAACATTCGTGACATAATATTTTTAAGGCAAATTTAATAATCAAACGTTGCATCATTCATTTAACCTACGGAATAAAAAGTAACGGTACGGATGTTTTCATCTCGTACGAAAGCCCGAGCCGTTCTCATACTATTAATATATATTTACAGTTCCTTTTCAATTTTTCGACATCTAATTTCACGGTGCTTGCGGTCATTCTTTAGGTTGTTGCTCCTATTTGTTAACTCAAAACAATTAATGGTGTTAAACCGGCGATTATCTCCGATTACCGAATCGAAACGTAACAATATTTTAATCGTTCAAGTGACATTTATTATTGATCGCGATATTACAGATATCTGCTATGTTTCGGATTAACTGTTCGAGAGTGATTGCAATTATTGTCGACAAAAATTTACAACAGAATTCTAAAATCCTCTAAAATTTTGCCCAAAAACCAATATTCACTTGTTGCTTTCGAAAAATCGATGAAACGATCAGCGTTGAAAAAAAAATTTTTTTTGTCTGTCCGTTCTCCGTTTCTCCGTTCTCTGTTCCATAGTTTTTCGACGATACCTTCCGTACGGTTTGTCCATCTATTTTTTTTTTATTTTGGCTTCTTAAACTTTTATCCCTGATAATTATTCAAGAATGTACAGGGTGTCAAAAAAACTGAAAAAAGGGTCCCCGTAACAGTGAAAATTGGCTATAACTAAAAGATGTTAGTTTCTTTTAAATGAAGATATAGCCCGTATAGATAGCTAAAACTTTTGTATTTACGATTTTTGCTTATTTTAAAGAGTGTTCCCGATATTCCATCCTACATAAGAAATGTGTTAAGTGTCCTAAATTCGCAGATATCGACTTCAAGCTTAGTAGATAGGTAAAAGTCGTTTCCAAAAATCACCTTACTTTTTGAACACATTTCGTATTTGGAATAGCTCTTACGTATTATACAGGGTGACCCAGGGTTAAACCATCTTTCTTCCCATCAACATATGTCCAAGGTCCAAAGTAATTTTGTTTTAACTGTGGTTTTTAGATGCACATACACATATTTCATCATATTTTTTATATAATCTAATTTCAGAGAGAATCTGAATTATGGTTCAGTAACATTTGCCTTTTAAATTTATCTAATTTTTGAATTTTAATTTTCAGATTGAGTTGACATTTATGAAACGTCTTGTGAATCGGGTTGCAAGTATGTTTGCAAGTATGTTTATGTGATTTTAGAAGTCAAATTTATTTTATGCCAGTACCGTGGATAAATGAATCAGTACCGTGGAACGGAAAATTTGAAATTTGAAAATCTTAAAAATGTTAAATAAAACACGTAACGTAAAAGTAAAGCTCCAATATAAAATCTTGTTTTGTATTAATTGTACAGAGACGTCACAGAGGGTAACTGGAAGTTAGGAAAAATCATTGTGCTACTTTTTTGTATGTTTCATATTTAAAAATGCGTTAAATTTTAAAGACAAAAGTTATTGAACTGGAATTCAGTGTTAACTTAAAATATTAACTTAATTTTTTTAGTTCGATAGTAGAAATCTATGAGGTCACTACTTTAAATCATATATTGCGACAAAAAAAAAATTAAGAATTTATAGATAAAACTTAGAAATGGACATGGTAGGTCCTCTCTGAATGACAAAAAATTATATCATCTAAAAAATGTGATGAAATATGTTCATAATTAAAAACTAATTTCATTAGATTAATTAATCACCAGTAAGAACAGAGAATACAAGACCTAAAAAATCACAATTCACAAAGAATCACTCACATTTGTCTATGTGAAAAAAAAATATTTTTACCTGATCTTTGACATTTACACTTAAACCATGAGTGACCCAGTATATGTTTGAAAAGCTAATAATAAGCCTAACGAAGTTATTAAAAGAAATACGGAGTGCTACATTTAAAAAACACAAATTAAGTCTATATCTCAAACTTTGTGACGTTCACAAAAAAAAACTGACTACGCCGCTGTATTCTAGTGCAAAGTGTTTATGAAATGCATCTGGAACTTTTCGAGGAATATAAAAATACCTTAATATGCTCGGTGATCTGTTGCTATGATATCTTATAAGTATAAGTTCATCCAGACAGCATTCTTGTCTAATCTTGAATAAGATGCCATTCCGTAATAATCGGGCCACCCCATACATATGAGCAGAATGTTCAACTGAAACACTTACCGCGCAAAAGGTCGTTGTAAAAATCACTAATTTCGTCCAAACTATTTCCAGAATACGTTTTTTCGGTGAAAACGACTTGAATGTATTCTCTGTCACTCTTCGCAACTTTGCTGGCGTACGTGTCAGACGTGTATCGTTTGAGTCGTTCTTTAATGGCCGATAATTTGAAACCGGGCTTCCATTTCATCAACACGTAGCCTCCTATACGACAACGCGATCTTTAAATTAACATTTTGTGAAAAGGAATTAACAACAATGAACTAAGCACTTGAGACATTGATGCCTAAAAATCAATTTAATTATTTTTGACCCTGATAGCAAGATGTATATGTATATGGTCTCGATATTTACATTTTGTCAATTATTATTTAAACATTAATTTTGTTTGTTTTGCCAAGACTGCTGCGAAAACAGCGCCATCTAAACACAAATCTATCAATTAGTTGCGCATTCAACAAACAAATTAACAATAGAAAGTGAGGTTATTCTTAGCTGTTAATTATTAAATGACTTTGCATTGCATAGAACAAAATAAGTTCTTAGTTGTCAATTCGTTTGCATTTTTTGGGTTGAAGAAAACCAGTTCCTAATTGTTAAATTATTTTTTTAAAAAATAAACACTCTTAGTAGACCACTGACTACTAACTAAATCTAATTAAATTTTTCTATATTGTAATACTTATCTAAAGCATTGTCTTTTATTATAATTGTATATCTTTATTACTTAATATATTTCTGATTATGGTAATTATCTATACTTTTTTTTAAACTAAGCAAGAAAAAGTAATTAGTCGAAAAATATTAGCCAGGCATAGGTATTGTTATACAGGGTGTTTTCTAAATTAATGTCAATAATTAAGGGTCAGATTTTTGGGTCCATTTTAAAAAATATTTTAATGAAATTTGGAACATATGTACGTACCATGTTTTAAGAGGCATTATTTAGTGAACCACATTTAGAAAAAATATACCCATCGCGGGAGTACGGAATTTCAACAGACATTGATTTTACGCCCCTGAGTTCTCTTAAAACACAATCGCCAAGCATTGCTAAAGAAATTTTATTTCTTGATTTTTTTCAATGTTTTAAAATTATTTCTTTAATATTAAATCTATATAAATATTTGTTGCGTAAATTATTTCCTTAATATCTGAATATTAGTACTTAAATTACATCCTTAATAATAGATTCTATATAAATATTAGTATTTAAATTATTTCCTTAATAATATATCTATATAAATATTTGTGCTTAAATTATTTCCTTAATAATAGACCTTATATAAATATTGGTACTTAAATTATTTTCTTAATAATAGACCTTATATAAATATTAGTATTTAAATGATTTCCTTAATAAATATTTGTGCTTATGTTATTTCCTTAATAATAGACCTTATATAAATATTAGTGTTTAGATGATTTCCTTAATAAATATTTGTGCTTAAATTATTTCCTTAATTTAGACCTTATATAAATATTAATACCTAAATTATTTTCTTAATAATATACCTCATATAAATATTTGTATAATATTAATAAATTTATAATAGTATATAATATAATATATAATATAATATATATAATATAATAATATATAATAAATATTAATAAATATTTGTACTTAAATTATTTCCTTAATAATAGACCTTATATAAATCTTAGTTAAATTATTATGTATGGTCATAACAATGTCGTTAATATGACAGCGTGCACAAAATTCTTATCGTTATTATTTATCACTTAAATAATTGTCTGTCTGTTTTATTAAAATACTTCAAAAAATAGAAGTACGAATACAAAGTACGTAAACTTAAATAGATAAAATAAAGTTAAATTGAAATATATTTTATTTTTGAAAAACTTTACCACACTATATCTCAAAGGTTAAGATGTTTAGAACATGTGTTCATATGAAGTCTTCTATTTAAAATGGTCCCAAAAATGGCCCCCTTAATAATTGACATTCATTGAGAAAAAAAATACTAAGACTAGATTTTTATAGATATCTTGAGTTATTGAGGTTGTGTAGATAACTGAAAAGTTAAACAATTTTATTCAAAAAAGAAACCCCCAAAGTATAATAAAATATTTAAAATTTCCCGTTTTTCTTTAAATAATTTTTACTTTGTGCTAAGCAATTTATTGCACCCGCATGCTTCCACAACTAATGGAAAAAATGCCACAAATATATCCAATAAATTTAGGAAGAAAAAGGAATGTAAGAATATAAAAGAATATAAATAGTAGTAAAAACTACCAAAGCTCAAACAATAAAATTCAACACCTGAGGGTATTTGAATGTGCAGAACTTCGAATGTCCTATTCATTTTTGTTGCGACTGATTGCGCATGTCGAACTTAGCTAACAGCAGTGTTGTCAGATTTCCCCTTTTAAGTCCCCTTAGTCGAGAAATTCAGAAAAGATAAAAATAAATAAAAACCAAACGAGTGATCTTTTTCAGAAAGTGTATTTACTGTCCAGAAAATTTAAACTTAAAACACTGGGTATAGAAAATAAAAGCGGGGAGACAGAAAAAGTTCTGAATAGATGGAAACAGTACTGCGAAGAACTTTACGGTGACAATCGAGATCTACGAGGAGAATATTCAGAACAATACCAGAAGCCAAACAACATCTGAAGACAAATAAGTCACCAGGAGTAGATCACATAAACGCCGAAATATTAAAGACACCGGAGGAACTGGCGATAGACATACTATTGGACATTTGCAACAAGATCTGGCATACGAAGACATGGCCAACAATCAACCGAATATAATTCCCATATGTTATTCTGCTTTATTGATTATAAAAAAGCATTCGACTGCGTAAAATCGAAATGCTTGTGGCAAATACTGAGAGAAATGGGAGTAGCGAATCACCCAACAAGTCTAATTGGGAACCTATATGAATCAAATGAAGCCATAGTGGGAATAGATAACTACTCATCGCAGACTTTCAATATACAAAAGGGGGTGCGACAAGGATGCATATTGTCCCCCAGGATTTTTAACGCCTACGGCGAACACATACTCTGAAAAGCCCTAGACGATTTCGAGGGAGGAGTGTCAATAGGTGGTAAAAAACTGACAAACCTACGATATGTAGACGATACAACGTTGCTGGCGAGAGATGAGACCGAAATGAGGATGACAGGATGACGTTTAACAGAGTGGAAAGTGAAAGTGCTAGGATGGATCTGGAAATAAATCTCAGCAAGACTAAGCTCATGGTGATTGACAGAGAGGGAATCCTTCCACGTCCGAACATCACAAACATAGATTTAGATGATGAATTTGTGAACCAAGACGGGTCCGAAAAGGAAATAAAAATACGAATAGCAATGGCGCGAGCAGCCTTGAGCAACCTCACCAGAATATGGAACATTCTCAATCTTTCTGTATGGAGCGGAATCCTAAACTATGAAAACACCAGACATATGAAAGATCGAATCTTAACATGGAAAGCTAAAGTTGATGGATGTACACGATTCCGTGAGATCACAGTTTCTCAGACATGAGAATACCACTGAGAAGAAGAATTCTATTTATTTTAATTGCAATGAATTTCACATTGCTAGCGGGCAACGTCGTGTGTTTTCTGGATGATATTTCCGAAAAACTGGCCACAGCACACGGAAAACCGGGGTTGTGATCAAAAAAGAGCCTTCGGATAACACATTTACAAAGACGAATTTACTAACCGCACAGCTTGTATTCGGAGCAGAAACCCACTGGATTGACGGGGTGAAGACATTTGGAGTCGAAAAGTTGTTTCCGATCGCACAACACACTCCTTGTTTTCGAACACAGGCAACCGGTAGGGTCTCGACAGGGTGTGTCATCTACCCTAATCCTTTTCGATATCCTGAAGGAGTCCCGTCCGTCCTCTGAATCCAGAAACTCCTGCAGTCCGTCGGTATTGTAGAAATCGCTTCCGATTTTGAAACTTTTAAAAGTGTCTGTGCTGTGGAACATAAACTGAGCCACGCTCGAGTTAAGCCCTTTGGGAAATATGACGTCATCGTTTTGGCAGGGCAGGCGTTCCGTGTGTGGAACGGCGCTGTTGTCGGCAGTTTCCATGCTGGACCAGTTGTCAAAATCCTCCCAGTATTTGAATTTTAGCTCTTTCAACTCCACGCCTAAATGTGGAAACAACACGAATACTTTCACTGACGTGGCCGTCAGAAATGACAAACGTCAAAATTCAAGCCGTGCGATAATATCTCAGAAAATATCCAAAATATCCCGGAAATATCCGAAGTTTATTATGCAACAAGTGCGGTAAACGGCATTTGACTCACGAATTTATTTAGCAAGATCGGAGCGCAGCGGGGCGAGTGTTTGATAAACGAGTGAGATAAAGAGTTTTTCTACTCCCGTGCTCGATGCGTCACTTTACCACGTCAGTGTCGTTTCGCACGAATCCGAGCCATTTCGGACATTTCCGGGATTTTACCGCACGGGTTTGGGAGCAATCGGAATGTTTCGGAGATATTTCCGACGCTTTGAATTTTGACGTTTGTCAATTCTGACAGTCATGTCAGTGAACGTATTCGTGTAAGTGGGCCTGTAGTAAACGTAAACAATTATTGGATTTCTGAAGAACGGGTTTAATTATAGAGAAATAGTTCTGGCTTTATTTAGAATAACATTACTATTGATAATTTTTCATATAATAAAACTCCAACAATATGCCGCTTAGATTACCATCACATTGCCAAAACTGAAAAACAAAGTCATATACAATAATGAAAAGCCAAAAGTGTCCACCCTCGTAACTGGTGTAATTAAAACTCGGTGTGAATTAATATCAGTGAACAGTTAGTTGAAGAGAGTGTTCTAATCATATACCCGAAGTGGAAAATAACTGTAAAAAAACTTGGGACAATGTAAAACAATTGTGACTGCGGAAATCGAAACACCCGGCATAACCCGCCCCTTACTCCACCGCGAAATACTTGCAATTTAGATCGTCTTCGGTCTCCTCTTCGAACGAAATTCGCGACCCCTCCGACAGTTTCAGGGTTCCGCTTACGGGCAGGACTAATTTTTTAACCGTCAGTTCCCTTAAATATAGTCTCGCATCATTTTCTTTTCCAAATACGAGACCTCGGCATTCGTTCGAACGCGCCTGCGAAGCCCAGTTGTCCGGATTCAGTATGTCTACGTCGTGCTTCCACGTTTTGACGTCACAGGCGGTCCTCGCGACTGAAAATATTGCGGTTGGTGCCGAAGAATAAGAAAAAACGTTTCGTATACTTAGACCAGAAATATAGTGCTTTTGCAACCGACCCCGTGATTAACTTTGCCCACTGTTTATTACTAAAAAACCGCAGCTCCTTACCTGTGACCATTCCAGGACCGTCCTAGGAATTTATCTACCTACACATTTCCACATAGTATCGTTATTAATATACGAAATATTAAATATAATAATAATAAAGTGTCAGTCACTTAAAGAATCGTCACTATCTCTACTGTCGCCACCTAGTTCAATGATCAACTAATCGTTCTCGATAAATTTATTATTTTTTTATTTATTTTATTTTATTTTATTTTTTTATTTATTTTATTATTTATTTATTTATTTTTTATTATTTTATTTTATTTTTATTTATTTTTGTTACTCGTTTTTCACAGTTAGACCAGCTTTGTACTGATATTTAGCTACCTCTTGCTGAATTACGTTTGTGGTCCTATCAATAAATTTTGGTGCAGTGTCATTTCTTCTTTGCACTTTCAGCTCATACAATCTCAAGATTTCATGTCCGTTTTGTTGTGCTATCGAATAGATTTTGTAGCCTTTATTAAAATGTTTTATTTTTAATAATTCCAGAAGTTGGTTTTTCGTGTAGCTCTCTTCAAAGTATTAATCATTTTCTTACAGAAATTCTTTAATTTCTTCTTTATATGAAGAAGTTCTTGGCATTTTTCTAATTTGGGCTGAGGGATACGAGGCATTATCCAACACAGTAATAATATTTGCCGATAGCTTTGGCAACCGTTTATTTTCAAACCAGTCCTCAAATATTTCCGCGGTCATGTTTTCATGGTAATCCACCCTTGAATCTTTGACGTTTTTGGCAGGCGAAAATAGGCCAATCATTTTGTGTTTTCCATGTGAAGGCGGCACGTGTAGTACACACTTGTTTCTGTTAGCACACCATTCTGTTTTTACTGTGTCATGAGTGTCGAACCACGTTTAGTCTAAAAACACCATTGGCCTATTTTGCTCTCGAAATTGTTCGATTGCTTTTAAATAATCCACTCTCCGTTGTGTAATTCTTTGAGATTCCATTAGGACTTGACGTTTATTAATAGATTGGAACTGAACATCCATTTAAGTCTGTCAGTACTTTTTTATGCATTTCTTCTAACTATTCACATTTGCGTGTTGCTCTTTAAAAACTCGCGAAGTACCAGCATCTTCTCTAACTTTCCTATTCACTATCCCATTTGCAACAATTTTTCTTATTTCGGAACTTTGGTCATGCCACTTGTTACTTTCGAAAATCGATGAAATCAAATTTTTCAAAAGTATCTGCGCTCGTATAATTTTTTTTTGTCTCTTTGTCCGTTCTCCGTTCCCCGTTTTCGTCTTTTGTGTTTTTCTGAATCACCTTCGAACCGTTGGAGCTACAAAATTGAAATTTGCCTCCTTTTTAACTTTGAGCTTATAAGAAATGGCCCTGATCCGACGCCGATATCCATCTTTTTTGGCGATTTTCGACTGTTTTTTGGACATTGCTATGAAACATGAAAAATGTCCGAAATTTGAAGCACTCGACTTCATATTTGGCACATATATGCAGCTTCGCCCAGTGACGGGACCTATTGAAAAAAAGGGGGGGGGGGTCGGCAAGTATTCTAAAAAAATAAAAAGTCGTGCGTGTAAGGGTCTACAAAAAACATCATTTTTTCAAAAACTGTTTATGACACCAAAAAAATTCTTGAAGCAGAAGATACGGCTCTATTAACTTTTATTCTTGACGATTTTTCAAAAATATACAGGGTGCGCCACAAATTCAAAAAGCTGAAAAATTGGTCCCCCTATTATTGAAAATTGGTTATAACTGCGCGTGGAAAATGCAGGGCTATAAGCTCAACTTCGAACAATGATTGTATCATATACAGGGTATGTTGTTTATGGGCAAAAAATCTAAAGTATCCTAAAAATTTCCGCTTTTGTAGGTAAATTATTGGCGATAAATTAAGAACCGTTAAAGATTGGATAATTTTGTTTGAACAGTATCGTATACCGTGGCGTGAGAGAGTTTCAGGTTTTGTCAATTATACAGGGCGAGAGATATTTGAAAAAATATCATTCGACAACGTAATTATTTGTGCAAATTTTAATATTTACCGATGTTTGCTGTAACTCTGAAGTTCGACGAGATGTGAAGGACATTTTATACAGGGTGCATGCACTATTAAATTACATCGATTTTGCGAAAGTTCCGTAGTGGTCCGCAGGAGCACGACAGAAAAACAATGCGTCCCTTTACCACACGAAACCGAGACGTCCTTTCCTTTTATAATAAAAAGCTGCCCAGTGATGATTTTTCGAAAGCAATCTTGTTTTTATTGCTGCTCTTACTTCCCTTCTGTAAACATTCAAAACAATTTGTTTAGCGTTCCAAGACAAATGGATCCGTTTTTCTTATTTGCTGAGGTAGTTCGCCTTCTACATTGTCATTAGGTTCGACTACCATCTCCACTTCGACTTCAAATTTTGCGTTGTTTTCCATGTCTTCTTCTAACATGGAAACATCTGCTTCATTCCATTTTAAAGTGTTAAAAAACAGGAACATTCAAAAAATGTTTAAAATACTGATAAATATTTATCTGTTTTCTCATGACGTACCTTTATCAACGGCGAATATAATCTATAGTCTTAAAGACGTCTGTTGTTGTTTACAAATCGAAGAACTATTAGAAGATTCAAAAATACAAGAAGGAGAATGTTGTTAATCGCTAAGCACACAAGACAAAAATGATTATTTTCAAACTTACCTATAAGATAAATAGAGCACAGGTACTTACCCTTACCCTTTGAACTATCCAGTGAAAACAGCTTCGCAAGGTCAGGTACATAAATAAGTACTTACTGGAAGAATCACAATCAAATACCTCCTTAATATATACGAACGCATTGTAATTTCGATTTAACTCTTAAGATCTACACACATCACCAGATGTTAATATAAATGATTCTACTTATTCGAAAATGCTCCGCAGCATTAATGCTTAATCAAATTTAAAACGGTCCATTTATATATTATAATATTCGTTACGGTCCATCTCAGGCAAGACCTACGTAATGAAGAATAAACATTGCGATGGGTTTTACCACGGTCCTGCGATGGTCTGCGGTTAAGGTAGTGCAAAATACTTAAAACGTCCAAGCAAGAAATGCACTATATTTTTGGTCGTATTATACGCACTGGAGACGGAGGCTATTAGAAGAACGCTCTTCCACGCGCACATGTTTTACACCCGAACGGCCACTACTGGGATTCGTAACAGATGGGAGTTAATCGGACATGTTGAAATGTGATATTCTGGGTGGTATGAGTTTAAGTGATGTCTGGTTAAAATCAAAAAGCAATATGTTCAGGGCGTTTAAAATATATGTGCCATTGCTCAACGGGAAGTCCTCAAATAAGCCTTTTTGCTTCGTTTCGTGCCTGCAGTATGTTACAGAACTTATAAAAAGGTTATTTAAACTAGTACAAAGAATTTGAATAAATTGACTAGTGCAGTGCGAATTGGCAATCGTTGCAATACTTAACTTTAAAAAAAAATCCGGCCGCCACTGACTTTCTTTATTTCTGAGTTGCGTCTTGATCTTTCGTCAATTTCGACCTCTTTAATAAGATACATGTCGTTTTATTTATCTCTAATGATTCAAAACCGTCATTGTCACTGATTGATCAGAGCGTTAGAAAAGTATTTGATTTGTTGAATTTGATACGTTTTTTTGTTATTATTGTTTTTGCGTTTATAAATTATTTTTTTATTATTGTTTATTAATTATCACACTTTTAAAATGTCTTTTAGCCATTATAACTTGACAAACA